TGGAGCAGGACTTGACTCTTGGGGCACAGTGTCACCCAGCACACAGCCAGGAGAGCATAGAGAAAAGGGGGACCACAGTGTGCAGTGTGCAGGGCTGGGCTTTTCACGTGCTTCTGTCAAAGGAAATGCATTTTGCAATTTCTGCGCAGTTCTGAACCTCTGAAATTCTGGACAATTGTCATCCAGAGGTGTGTGGAATGACAAGCTGCTCACAGAACCACGCGTGCTGTAGCTGTGGGTGTGTTTACACCCAGGTAAAATGGTTTTTTTTAAACCATTAAAAAAAAAACCAAACCTGCAGCCCAATCCCACAAGTGTGTGTGTTTACACCCAGGTAAAATGGTTTTTTTAAACCATTTAAAAAAAAACAAACCTGCAGCCCAATCCCACAGGCCTGGCCAGAGCTGCCCTTCCTGGAATTGGTGCTGCAAGGCAGCAGTGGAGCTGCAATGCCAGCTGCTCCATGGGTGGAGGGCCCTGGGAGCTGCTCTGCCAGCTGTTGCAGGCCGTGATTTCTCTCCAGTGCTTCCTCCAGAGTAGCAGGGAGTGATGTTTGTTCTCACTTGCCATGCAAATGAGCTGCCAGTTCTGAAATCCCCGTGGTGCACAGGGTTCACCATCTCATATTCCTCCATCTCCTCCCTCCTTTCTCAATAGAAACACAGACCTCTCCCATTCTATTCACACCACACCTACTCTGTGTGGCTCATCCCAGGCACCTGTGAACAGGTACCTGGCCAGCCTCAGTAGCTTCAGCAAGGTGCTCCCACCACTCTGCCTCTTGCTGCCACCTCTGTGGGATGGCTGTCCCCCCAGGGGCCAGGCACAGAGCCTGGAAAAGCCACTGCAAGGTGTGGGATGGTGCCTCTGGGCATGCTGCATGATGTACTGTGGGCTCTGTGCCCCGTGCTGCTTCAGCTGCTGGTTTGCAGCAGTTAAGTGGAGACAGGAGTGAAACATTAGCAAAATGTTTTATTATTGATGTATCACCATGGTTTGGCTCTCTTTGCGTTTTGGCTCATGCCACTGTAATGCAAACACCATTTTCACTTAGTAAACAGTAAAACATAATTATATATATGTATGGGGGTTTTAAAAATTTTTTTAAAGGTACTTGCCCTCCCTTCAGAGGGAATTTGACTGACCTCATTGATTTTAAAGGCAGCTAAAGATGTTCATGTGATTTAACGTTGTTCCCCCTGGGAGCAGGGTCTGGTGGGCTCTGTGTGCCCGAGCTGGTCCCCAGGCAGGGGAGCTCTGATGCTGCACAGATCCAGCAGTTCCTGAGCTCTCTCACCTCCTGTGCTTGCAGGTTCACCCTGGCTGGTCCCTGCTCCCTGTGAGGGACAGCCAGCAGGGAGGCAGGGCAGGTGCTGTCCAGGGATGCTGCTGGAGGTCAGGGAGTTGGGTGAAACACTCTGCAGGCAGGTGTGATTGCTGAACCCAGCAGCAATCTCGAGCTTGAGTTTAAAACAATGATTCTGAGTGTACTAAGAGAAAGGTGACTAATTGCTTTAAAGTTTGCTTTTGTTTCCCTGTGTAAAAAGCTGTCAGCATGGATGCAAAAGGCCTTGTCTAGGTTCACATCACAAGGTCTGCTCCACTAACATCTGTCCCTCATAGGTGACAACAGCAGAATTTGCAGAGAAAGAATTGTGGGGACAGCATAAGAAAATGAACTAAGGCTGTAAATTGGTGAGTTTTTTGTGCTGGTAACTCATTGGCCAGGCTGAACATCTTTAATCTCTTAGAGCTGTGGGAGATTTCCCAAGGGTTTTCTTGTGCCCAGAGTAGATACACTGGCTAGCAATATAAAGACTTGTTAAAAAAAAATAAGTGGATGTCGCAGCATTTAGAACTATTGATCCAGTACAGAGCTGGATTTTTTGAAAAGTAATCCTTTTGGAGAGATGGGAACAATAAATGTGAGAGGGAAAGGAGGAGCTGGGAAGGGGGTTGTGAAAAGTGCCACATCCAAGGACTGGTACAGCAGCACCTTCCCTGCACACCTGGCCTGGGCAGAGACAGGTTTGTGCTGTGCCAGCCAGTGCAGAGCCTTCTGTAAATCACCTGTGGCCAGGGCTGAATAGGGCTCCAATTTTACAGAATTGCACACCAATTGAGAATAACAGGACAAGAATTAATTCCAGCTCATTGTATTATGACCAAAATAATTTTCTTTCAGTGGGTGTAGGTCCAGACTTTTCCTCTGAATCTGGCCATACCCTTTTGATGGTGTCTCCAAAAGGTGTGGGCTCCCTGTGCTGCACAGCAGCCACTGCCTGCCAGGACACCTGGAGTCAAGTGCAAAAAGGCACAGCTTCTCACACCTAATGTCATCTGTTCCTGTAATATTTAGGTCCCTTTCCAAGTCCAATCCCTACCTTGCTAATGGCCGTCTAATTCCAGTTGCTTCCAAACGTGAATAATCCTTATGTTCATTCGTGGTTCTACAGGTTGCCCCAGTGCAAGGTAGAACTGCACCCCTGGAAGGAGTGTGGTGTTGAGCTGCAGGCTTCAGCCCTCGGTTTTCTGGGAATGTGACCCTCGGGAACTGAAAACTGAGACTGAGTTGTGTATGTCCAAGGGCTGGAACGCCCTGGGAAAGGCACTGGGAATGTGCTGGGAGCTGGGCTGCTCCTGGAGTTGTGCCCAATGCCCACAATGCAGGAGGTGACCAGGGAGGTGCTAAGCCCTGTGAAGACCCTGCCCTTCCTCTGCTCCAGGCTGATACCTGCCAAGTCTGCAGGACCAGAGTGGATTATTAGGCAGAAGTCTTTTATTCTTTGAGTTTAGGTTCATTGGCAGGGTGGTTGGGTGCTTTTTTTCTGTGCAATCAAAATAAACCTGGCAAAATCTGCACCTATTTTCTGACAAAGGCTGGGGACTCTTTGGTGCAATAACAAACTGTCTGAGCTTTTATGATCTGCTAAATAGGGCAGCTGTAGTTGGAGTGGTGTTCAGCAGCACCCTTTATTTCTTCTTAGAAAGGAGCTCCTGTGTTTTGCAAAGCTCTCCTCTTATCTGTACTCATCTGCACCTGATGCAACTAATAAAAATGCAGCAGATTTCAAATTTGCATACATTAGTTTATAATTGCATGTTTCCAAGTGTAATCCACTGAATGTGTTTGTGTTTGGACGATGCTGGGGGGGATGTGCTGCTGGACATTTTGGATTTTCTCTGAAAAGCAGGTGCATTTCCTGCCAATGTGGGGTGGGAACCTGAACCTGAGGGAGCACTGGGCATTTCTGCTGTGCACAGGAAGGAGGGCCAGGATTCCCAGCTACTGACACTAGAGACAGCTTATGTTATTTTTGTACTGTTTTTTCCCCATATGCCTTTACCTTAGGTTCACTTCAGGCTCCTTGAACCTCCCAGAGACTCTTGATAAAGGGATTGTGTTTTTATCATCTGTCTGTAATGAATGTAAAATCTCAGAGGCAGCTGCAGGAGGAGGGGAAGCACACACACGTGTTTTGGCAATCCAGTTTGCATGTTGCTGCAGGCAGACCTCCCCGTGTTTCCTTCGCTTGTGGAACGGGGAATGGTCAGGAATGTTTCTTAAAGCTTTGAGGGAAACATCGGATTTTCACATAATGATGTTTTGCTGAGGAAGGATGAATCCTTTCCACCTGATTCGCCTTCATTGTCTCTCAGCTTTCACAGTGTTTTTTGTGATGTTTGTTGGGGTTTTCCTCACTCCTGTCCTTGTGCTGGTACCTCCCTTAGGTACCTGCCTACTTCCTTAGGCTGCACACCTGTTTCTGGCAACCTTTGGCAGCTCTAACACGGCAGATGTGCTGGGGTGGGAGGGGAAGGCAGCCTGGCAGGACTAATTCTGCCTCAGAGGGAAGTGGTCACAGCTCCTGGAAGTTGACACAGCTCTGGTAGGTGAGTTCTGGCTGGTGATAAAAAGTCACAGGCATCCCTGGTTCTCATAAAGGAGAAGGGTATTGCTGTGTTCCTCTGCTACAGATATTTTAAAGCTGCTGTCTGTTCTGCTCCAGTAGCTCCTGCTAGTTTGTTAGGACTCCTTATAGAATTTTCCGATCCATGAGAATACAATTAACAGTAATAACCTGAGCCTTTGGGTAAAAGACTGTATGTAAAAAAGAGTGGTTTCCTCCTCTGCTGCAGTGCCTGGGTAGAGCTGTTGCTTGCATGAGGAACAAAATTAAAATGTAGCTGCCTTTTGCTCAGTTATTGCTTCAGAGGCAGCAAAACCAGGAGTGTGAGCTGGATTGTTTTTCCATTTAATCTTCTGTGCAATTGCTAATTAAGTCCCTATTGCTGGAGCTTTATTAATGCTAAAGATGTGAAAGGCAGTTTGATTTTTTCCAGCTGATGGCTGAATGTGAAGAGCTGACCATTAGAAGAAAGCTGTTGTTTCAAAATCTGGAATTACTGAGAAGCACTTGAATGCTAGAGCATCGTCTTCACACTGGCTTTTTGGTTTATAACCCAAAGCCATTCCTGCAGCCTAATTGGCAGGCTGTCCTTAAGAGCTTTATAATCCAATTAACATCCAGAGCAGTAATAAGGCATTTGAGCAAATGGAGGGAATTTGTCTTTCAGTGACTTGCGACAGTGCCTTTGCAGCAAAGGCTGTGGAGTGCTTGCTGTGCTCCTCTCCATGGTTCTGTGGATTGCTGGGCAGTGGGAAGAGAGCTGCCAAGCCCTCCAGGAGCTGTTGCACCTGCTCTGGACAGCTCTGACTGCTTCCCTCGAGGAAGGAGCCGTGCTGTGCTCTAGGGGGGCATCCGTGGGTCACAGGGTGGTGCTGGCCACAGAAGGAAATGGCACAGTGAATTTTGGGGCAGGTGGTGCCTGAGGACAAGGTAAGCTGAGCCCCAGGGAGGTGAGGCAGAGCCTGTGGCAGGTGGCTGCAAGGCTGGGTTGGGCAGCCTCTCTCTGTGTTACCGACCAGCACGTGGGGCGGGTGTGAGGAGCTGATTAAACATCTGAGCTTTCTTTCCCCCCCTCCCCACTTTTTGCAGCTCTCCATGAATTCCCCAATGACATCTTCACGAACGAGGACAGGAGACATGGAGCAGTTGTCCTGCACGTCCTCTGTGTAAGTGTTGTGACTTTGCCTTTCTTCTGCTGACATGGACATGGCCTGGTGTGCTCTGATTGAAGTTATTTTCTCTTTGGTGCATTTCCATCTCCTGTATGGACTGTGAAGTCAGGGATGTGATTTTTTTTTTGGTTTTTTTGGGAGTCAATAATGGAAGGATGGTTTAAACTCGCTTCCCGTTTTCATTTTTTTCTGTAGACACTGTTAGAATGTCAGGCCTTAGGAAAGAGAAAGTAGTCCTGAAAATAGGACAGTTTGGCTTCTTTAAGATGAAAACTAAATGTCAGAGAGCTAAAAGATACTTCTTCTGCAAGAAGTACTCTGAAGTTTATGGGATAGAATAATTGACATGGAAATATCCATGGCATTATGTGGATTCCAAAGTTTTCTTTATCAGTTCTTTGAGTTACATTAGTAGCATTCTTAAGCAGCCAAGAAAATACCTGCTCCTAATGAATGTTTAGAAGCTTCTAACAATTTTTAGTCAGCTTAAATGAGTAGTCACCATTAGCTGTGAGAAGTGATTAATGATTTCTTTTTGAATATAAATTAGATTGTATTTTGTATTTTAATGTGAGCCCTCTGTGTGAGGATTTTATTTTGGCTAAATAGCTGCAGAAATTTGTTGAGTAATGTTGCTATTGACCGTGCCTGGCAAGTTCAAGAATCTCAAGTTTCCATGGGAACATTGAGCTTTGAAATGTTTTGGAAACTGAGCACTGGACCTGAGCTGGATTTTATATCACCAAGAAGAATACTCCTAAAAATTCATATATTAATTCAGTTCTGAATGGGCTGAATGTGCCTTTAACATGTCCCAAAATGGAGTCTGGAGGACTGAACTGTCTAGTTCAGAATAAAAAGAAAAATCTGTTTTTAATGAGAAGTAGGAAAGCATCCACTGTCCCAGCAGAAATGTACTCAGTTTCTTCCCTGCTAGCAAACAGCAAGGCAGCTCCCTCAATCCATTGTTCCATGGGTGCTCCATTGTTCTCTGTAGCACTTCCATGGACTTAGGAGAATTTACTGACCACTCTTTGTCTTGTGGTCCCTGAGGTGCAGGACCTGGCTGGATTCAGCCTCTCCAGTACTGGGATAGCTGGAGACAACCTCTTGTCAAAGAAAAAAATGGTACTCAGAGAAAACAGAAAACTGTTAGCATTTAGCAACCTGTGTTGGAAGGGGTGCTCTTTGTACTTGGATTCAGCCTCTCCAGTACTGGGATAGCTGGAGACAACCTCTTGTCAAAGAAAAAAATGGTACTCAGAGAAAACAGAAAGCATTTAGCAACCTGGGTTGGAAGGGGTGCTCTTTGTACGGGGATAATGAACCTCCAGTCCTGGTTTTTACCTCCCAGAAATACAGTTACCAAACGTGTGATGAAATCAGAGGAGAAGCAGAAATGCACTTTTTTGGGGGAAAGAGGATACAGACAGAGAGGTTTTTTTTTGCCTCTACTGAGGTTTCTTCATGGGTTTGGAGAAGTCTTCCCTGCTAGCAAACAGCAAGGCAGCTCCCTCAATCCATTGTTCCATGGGTGCTCCATTGTTCTCTGTAGCACTTCCATGGACTTAGGAGAATTTACTGACCACTCTTTGTCTTGTGGTCCCTGAGGTGCAGGACCTGGCTGGATTCAGCCTCTCCAGTACTGGGATAGCTGGAGACAACCTCTTGTCAAAGAAAAAAATGGTACTCAGAGAAAACAGAAAACTGTTAGCATTTAGCAACCTGTGTTGGAAGGGGTGCTCTTTGTACTGGGATAATGAACCTCCAGTCCTGGTTTTTACCTCCCAGAAATACAGTTACCAAACGTGTGATGAAATCAGAGGAGAAGCAGAAATGCACTTTTTTGGGGGATAAAGGATATAGACAGAGAGGTTTTTGCCTCCACTGAGGTTTCTTCATGGGTTTGAAGAAACTGGACTCAAAAAGGAGCTCTGTAGTGGTAGGAAGAACAATGCAGTGGTGATTAGAGGTCATCACCATGCTTCTCATGTTAGTGACCCCCCCCTTAAACAGTTTATATTCATTTCAGTAAAAATGTTGTTCTCTGTCCTCTGCCCCTTTGCCCATACTTTCATGTTTAATTCTGAAAGACATCAAGGCAAAGCTGGTTTATCAGAAGCCAGAGAAATGGGACAAAAGCTATCACTGGGACCTTGGGGAAGAGCAGGAGGCTTCCCAGGGCATCTTCTCCCTATTGTTTAATAAAAAGGGAAAAAAGACCCCAGCAAATCTTCTCAGTGGGGCTCTGTGAATTACTAAACGATCTGATACTTCACAAAGATGAAAATTAATTCCTAAACACTTGAAAAATCTATGAAAAATGGAGCAGGTCAGCAGTAGTTTTAGGTCTGAACTGAAAATACTTTGGTTTGAAGAAGTGGGCCACTTTTAGAATATTACAGGTTGGAGTCATGGTGTTTAATTTCTCCTGGATACTTTTTCAGAGCTCAGCAGCTGACTGCTTCACTGCCATTCATAATCTCCATGTCCCCTCTGAGAAGAGGCTGAGCTGCTGAGTAACTCCCCACTAAGTCACTGACTTGGGATGTTCAGTTTGGAGGGGCCAGGGTCTGGATTTTAAGTCTGGTGCTGTTCCTGTAGCCTGGGAGTTCCCCAGCACTCAGGGCTTCTTTATGCAATCCTAACATTACTGTTTGTAGAATCATGGAGTGGGTTGGATTGGAAGGAACCTCACACATTATCCAGTTCCAGCTCCCCTGCTATGGGCTGGGACACCTTCTGCTATCACAGGTTACTCCAAGCTTTGTCCAACCTGGCCTTGGACACTTCCAGGGATCCAGGAGCAGCCACAGCGTCTCTGGACACCCTGTGCCAGGGCCTCAGCACCTTCACAGGGGAGAATTCCTTCCCAACACCCAATCTAGCCTGCCCTCTGTCAGCATGAAGCCATTCCCCCTTGTCCTGTCACTGCAAGTCCTTGTCAAAGTGCCTCTCCAGCTCTCCTGCAGTCCCTTCGGGTACTGGAAGGCTGTGTAGGGGCTCTCTTAGCCTTTTCCTCCTTATTATTTTGTTCCAGCTGATGTCCCGGTGCGGGTTTTCAGCCCTGCCATGTGTAGGGGCACTGGCACCAGTTACCCCCTCGAGACAGGAGGGAAATGGCTTTGCTGAGAAATTCCCAGGGTTTTGGCTGGCAGCTGAGAATGGGGGGTTTGGGTCTCTGCATTACCCTGCTGTTTTTGACAGCACAGTGTTGCTTCCCCTTTCCCCAGCCTCCTCCAGCAGATCTGGAGAGCAGAGCCGGGATGTGTTGGGTTGCCAGCGTGAGGAGCCTGTCCCTGGGCAGAGCTGGGCAGGGTGGAGGAGCAGTGTCTGTGCTCAGCCATCCCTCCTGCTCCCCGTAGCCATGGGAACGGGGCTCTAACAGGAACCTGCCTCCCTCCTGCGAGGCGCTCAGGAAATGTAGGTCACCCTGGACGGGTCCTGTCTCCATTTCTGCATCGGGTCAATGCCCAGACACATCTCATCCTGCAGCACAGGGCTGTCTCCTTAGGGGGTGGATTTCTCCAGTGCCCTGGCTGTCTGTGGGAGCACTGCTAGGCACATCATGGTACCCACGCTGCTGGCTGGAGTCAGCCCAGGCTCTGTGGCTTCCTGCTTTGGTTGGGGTTTTTTAATTTCCCTCAAACAGTGGAGTTTTAGGTGGGTTTGTAATGCAGAGTTGAGAAAAGCCCTGTGCTTGGTTAATGTGGGCTTCCTGCTTTGGTTGGGGTTTTTTAATTTCCCTCAAACAGTGGAGTTTTCACTGGGTTTGTAATGCGGAGTTGAGAAAGCCCTGTGCTTGGTTAATGTGATTTCAGGGGTGGCCCCTTGCTAGTCCTGCCCCCCAGGGCAGGGTCTGTGGGGCAGCAGAGGCACCCCTGCTGATGCTGCCTGCAACAACCTGGGCCTTTCACAGCCCCCTGGGAAGCAGGCAGGGCTGTAGGGATTGCTGCTTCTATGGCATTATGCTCTCTTTTAAAAAGCTTCTTTCGCTCACTGAGGCGAGTTTGAGTTCAAGTGTGAAGACTGTCATGGGAAGCTCAAAGGACTGCTGGACAAACAGGAAAAATTACCATTTCTGTGACCAAAATGACCAATGTTCTATATGGTGGAACAGGTATTTTGAGTAAGAAATTTAATCACCTTTGATGCAGAGATTGCATCTTTGTTTGTTAGAATCATTTTAAACTCACTCCTAATGTAGTACTTAATCTGGCATTTATAATCCTTTTATGCAGGGCCATTGCATTTTCCTAATTTTTTAATGTCCTTTGGGGGAGGAGGAGTGAGTGTATTTCTTAAAGCGTGTTGCCTGGCTAAAGACTCCCATATCATCACTAGGAGCTGAAAACAACTGAGTGAAGGTGAAGCCTTATTTTGTGTGTTGAGTCCTCCACATTGTATTCTGCTGCCATTGCACAGGCCATATTCCATGTCCCCCAACCACTTCCTTAATTCCCAGTGGCAGTTTCAGGTGGAGCAGCCTTCAGTCCGTGCTGCCCTGCTCCTTTCCAGAGCTGCTGCTCCCATGGTGCCTGTGAAGACAAGGGGCCATGTGCTGAAGGAAAAATCCATGTGTTTCCTTGGTGGAATATGAGGATGACTTAGGTGGAAGATGATACCACCTCATCATGCTGAGTGTCTCAGCTGTGCTCTTAGCCCTCTCCTCATGGGACATGCCATGCAGACTGGCCTCCCTGATGCTCCTGCCTTCCTCCCTCTTGCATAAAAAAGCCTCCTCCTGTTTGTGTTCCTGCTGGCCCAAACTCTAAACATTGCTTTGTTTTGTTTGTTTAAAAAGCCAACAAACAAGCCCCACCAAAAAGCCCGAAGAGCTTCTAAGGAAGTTACACTTACTATCCTCCTGTGTTCACTGACTGTGGGTAGCTTCCAGTGATTTAGTCTGTGAACAAGGCTGGGGTTTATCCAGGTACTCCTTCCATTCTGACGCTTTACACTTCATTGCACCCAAGCCACTTGAATGAACTTAGGGAAGACTCACAGTCAAAAACAAATTTGTGACAGCAATGAGGTGTTTAAGGTAAATGCTGGAGAGTACAGGTCATGTGGGCTTCAGTCAGTGCTGTCAGCCCTGTGCTAGTGCCCATCCCGAGGAGTGCAGCAGGTTTGGCTTTGTGCTTCCAGCTTCTGCAGCAGGGGCCCAGTCCCCACTCCTGAGGGGGATGAAAAACAGCCTGGGAGGACAGTTCCTTCCCATTTATTTTTCCATTCCATTCTCATTTCAGTGCCCTTTTTGCCTTTTGTCTTGTACCTGATCCTACTGATGAGAAAGCATGGGCGGACAAAACAAAATTCCCTTGTCACCCTTGAAGGTTGTTGTGCCCTCTAAAAACCTGGACACCATGAGATTCCACTTCAGTGCTGAGACATGGAGATGCTTTGGCAGTCTTGTGTGCACTGGAAGTGACACAAGCCTTCCCCTGGGATGTGTATCTAAAAATCCAGAGAAGGAATTGTCTGAACTGAAGATCTGGTGGGTGCCTTGCCCCTGCTGAGCCCTGTGGAGTGTGGCATCATCTGTGGACACCTACAGTGCAGTGCAGTGTGTGTGTGCCACGTGTGGCGGCATCTGGGGTGAGCTGCCTGGGCTCTGGGACATGGGATGCTGCCTCCCCTTGGCCCCTGTTCCCTTGCCTGTCTCTGGGAGGTTGCAGGAAGCCCAGCAGGCACGTGGAGCCCTGTGCTCCGTGGGCGTGGATCGTGTCAGAGAGGGCACGCTCACTTTGCAGGAATGATGCTGATGGACAGATTGGCATTCTTGAGAGGCATTACTGTGTGTTTGGACAGGACAGCGAGGGCATGACTCACTGCAGATTAATATGATTAGCAGATCAAAAACGAGGCTGAAGTTAGGCACCCTCTATCCGTTGTATTTCAATGGAATTTGGCCACATCACTCTCTGGAGCCCTTTCTGATCCTTGTTCCTATCTTCCTTTATCTCTGTTCATACAATTGGTATTGTGTCAGCAGCTGGTGCTCCCTGTGCAAGATCAGGTTCTTTGCTTCACCCTGCAGAGCTGGAGACCTGGAATTTTGCTTACTCTTGTGGTCCTCAGGGCTATTTTGCAGCATAAGATTTTCAAAAACCTAAGTTACACATATTCATGTTTATGACGAGGGACAAAGAAGCACAGAAACTATCCAAGTGACATTCTAGCACTTACTGTGTTGAGATTGTGTCAAAATAATTTGTTATGATGAAATTCCCACCTTTAATCCTGAAAAAAATACACTTGAATTATTTTTGAGCTCGAAAAGTTTTCATGGCTGAGATGTACAGTAATTACTGGCTTTTTTGCAGCAAAGTTGTGATTCTGGCAAATGAGAATCTGTGTTTTTGGTGGGGCTGGGGGGTTTAAATCTGTTCCTGGAAAGTGAAAACAAGAACAAAAAACCTGGAGGCCATTTTTCTTGCTGCTTTCTCTCCAGAAAAAAAAAATACTCTGGTCTCCACACATTGCCTGAGCTTCTGCAGGACTTCAACAACAAGCAAAGCCAGAGGATCGGTTGGTGATGTGCTTGGAACTGTGGTTCCCTAGGATTAATACACTGTTTTACTACAAATATTGGCCACTTCTCTCAGCTGTAGTTAGTCACTGGAGCTGCACTGCTTCTAGAAGTAACTCTGTGCTGGTCCTTGGCAGGTGACACCAAAAAGGTGGAGCTGTCTTTGGTCCTTGCAGCAGGTCTTGGATGTGTCCGTGCCAGAAAACCAGAGTGGGCTGGGAGGCAGACTCAGCCTGGCTGGGGGGTGTGCTCTGCTGGTGCCTGGCACACTTTTCCCCTGGTTTTCCCCTGTGCCAATGGGCATTTTCCCATCTAGTGGCAGTCTTTGTGTCGGGGTGAGGAGGGAGCTCCTTCCCCGTGGGCAGGATGGGCCAGGTTGCCCTCCAGGGCTTTGCTGCATGGATGTGAGCCACACTGTGCTGTTTGCCTCTCGGGGCACAGATCAAGCCCCAGCACATTCTGTTTAATAGTACAGAAACCCAGATTAAATGCTTCTTGCATGAAATTAAAGAACTGATTGGCCCAGTGTTATTTAGAGTCCTGTGTTCCTCCTTGGTTTTATTTGTTCCTATGTGAAGTTCAGTAAGATTTACCACTGGCACCCAGGTGACATGGCAGGGCACTTCAGTCCAGAAAAACAAGCTCCTTTTCCCTTTTTCAGAACACTGGATTTCAAAAATTACTCCTCCAGGGTTTAGACTTTCATAGAACAGAGTGATAAAAAAAAGCCTTGCACTGCCCAACGAGGAAAAAAAGGAAGGCAAAAATACTTCAGTGTGGCTTAGCAATGTCCAGAGGTCTAAAAAAAAAACAACAAAAAAAAAAAAAAAAAATAAACAAACAAAAAACCCACCCAAACAAAACAAGGAAAAACCAACAAAACAAAAAATAAAACCACCAAAAAAGGAGCCTTTATAGTGAAGATAAATTGTTGGCAGCTTCTGATAGTTTATAAGAACTTTTGGATAAATACACCACAATCTCGCAATTAAATCTCAGACAGCTCTATGAATTCTTATTGCAAGAGCATTTTATTTTCTTGAAAAGTGTGTACCAAATCAAACCTGGGATGCTGCTGTTCACTTCTTTGTGACATTCTCCAGACTCAGCCTTTTCTCTTCTCCCTTGCAGGCTGTGTACATGTTCTATGCGCTGGCAATCGTCTGCGATGACTTCTTCGTCCCTTCTCTGGAAAAGATCTGTGAAGTAAGTGTCAGATGTTCCTTGCTCTTGTGCTGCTTTCACAGCACTTCTGGAGAGCCTTGGGGTGTGGTGATGGGGTATTTGCTGTTGTCCTGCAGTGTTGCCCGTGCTGCTTGTCTTGTTGCTCAACATGACGTGTGCGCATTGACTCAGCTCTGTGTTCCTCCTCGCAGGACAGGCTCTCCAGGTGCTCCAGGCATTCACACTGTGCTGGTTGCTGTTGCCTTTTGCTTGTGTGTCTTTGCAGATGTCTCTGCAGAAACGCCAGGCCCCAGCCTTAGCTGACACAAATTAAAAGCTCTGGTGATTTACCCCAGTAGAAACCGTGGATCTTGTAGCCTGCCCTCACAGTCATGACTGTCAGACCTTGTGTTGTGTGGGTGTAAGTTGTAAAGCAGCAGGGACAGCTAGGTCAGCTGTAAAGAAGCTTCTGAATGCTTCCAGCAATTACAAGGGATTCTGTCCCTCTTTGGTAAGGTCGAGATGCCTAAATTTTAGAAGACAAGGAGTACATTTTTGCCTAAATCAGCTCAGACAGCCACGGAGCAAACACAGACCATGTGCCCAATTGCTGCGAGCCATATCTGCTGTCAGTTCCAGACAGTGAAATCTCTGTGTGCGGAGAATATGGTTGGTCTTGGCAGTGAGAAGTCTGTGCCATTTGTAGAAGACACCTGTCCATGTGCCTGGGAACAAGTGTCACCCATCAGGGCGTGGGCTGTGCTGGCCCTGGGAGAGGGGTGGAAGCTGACAGGGCGAGTTATTTGTGCTGACAGCACTGATGGAGGCTGTCTCTAAACTAACCTGATTTTTGAAGTTCAGCACCCTGCTGTGCGGGCATTTTTTGCATCATCAAAGGAAAAAAACCCCCAGGGAATTCCACTTTTTGGTGCTTAAGTATAGAAGTGACTGAAAGGTAACAACATAAGGCAAGAGCTTCTGTCCTGCAAAGTTGTTGCACCCACTGGGGCTGAATCTGGAGAACCCCATTGCAAGGTTCAGGAGAGGGAATATTGGTGTGGACATGGGGATATAGGCGATGCTGGGGGATGTAAACACACTGAGTTCTTTGACCTCCCCTCTCGCAGGCAAGTGAACCTCAATGGGAAATGTGGCTCTAAAAGCTGGCTCAGATGAACAAAGCCGGAGCTGAGTGAGCAGTGTCCAAGACAGGCTTGTATTTTGGGGTGCTGTCAATATGCCCAAGGCAAGCCAGCCATCCAGAGGGACACAGGGAGACAGAAGGAGGGAGATTGTTATTTCTTTTGTCTGTACACTCGTTAATTACCGCCCATGAGTGTGTTTGGATTGAGCCCCACTCCTGGCCCAGAGGCCTGACCTGGGTCTGTGGAGCACTGGCTCTGACTGGCCACGGACAAGCTCCATCACTTCCCTGTGCCTCTGTTTCCTGCTCTGCTCAGTAGGAAAGCTGATCCTTGACTGTGTTTACAGATGACAGTAGGAAACACTGCGTGGGTTGTTACCAGTTTGTAACTTCACTGGTGGTAAACTTCATTGTCACAAACAAGGGGCTTTTATGGTCACTAACTCTCTGCACATGCAGGGTCTGTGTGTCTCCACCATCTCCCAGAAGTTGGTCTAACAAGTGCCAGGCCAGCCCTACAATTGGTCTAACAAATGCCAGCCATTTGTTCTTCTGACAAATTCTCAGCTGTGCTTGAGTTTGTGCAGACATCTGATGTCTAAAAAGCAAATACCCTCTCTGTGTGATTTACTGCAGTATATGCACACCCTGGGCCTTAGAAGGCAGTTTTCACTTGCTTAGATCTTTGCTGTTTTGGTTATTTGTTGTCTTCTCACTGGTACACAACAATTCCTCGTGTGCCTTAGTTGTTCTGAATCATTCTGTTATCCAGCACCACAAATAAGATGACAATAACAATTTTTATTCAACTGTGTGTAGAAGAGAAAGCTTAGCAACTGAACACCAGATTTGGAGTACTCGTTTTGAGAAGTTGCTGTCCAGGAGAAAGGTGCTGTGGCATTAAGGATTGTCAAAATGGGTCACATAAATGGATCAGATTTTTACTGTTCTATTGCTCCTGCTTGATTCTCTCCCAGGAAAGTCTTTTCTCACCCCATAGGTGATGTTTGGAGACATTAAAATATTCTTATGTATTTTATGCATCATGAATTCAGGCCTCCTGCCTGAAGGCTTTTTTGGCCTTGAAGACCTGCCAGTAGTTGTTCTACATCTTCTCACAGTTTAGATGTTCTAATTCTAAAACAAATGTCCTTTTTCTGGCTTAGCTTCTTCCAGTATGGGAAGCAGTTGTTGAGTTGAACCAACAAACCATTTGTGCTCCCAAATGTGTGTTGACATGGGAATTTGCTCCAGAACACTTGCTATGGTAGACTTTCTGTGTTAGTTCAGACTTACGAAAAAACCCTGATTTTATTTTGTTTTCTAAACCAGTTTCTGCTCGCACTTGCCTGGCTGCCCCACTCCTGGTAGTTTACACTGTGTCAGTGGCAAACATTTGTCTGCAAATACATTTTTGCTGTCTACACAGAGTGCTGTTATCTGCTCTGTTGTATCAGCTTAATCATCATGTGCATTTCAGTGAATTCTCTAGAAACTGTCCTCAAGGGCTCCTGCTGTAGCTTTGAATTAAACCACCCCCCCAGGAAGTCAGCACAGCTGTTTCCTTGGCTGGTGGCTTGGCTTTCAAAAGAGGCACTGTGAGTTCCAGCAGCTATTGTAGGATGGATGTCTCCATAGTTTCATAGAGCATCCTGCGGGAGAACCTGGCCTTTGGGGATCTGCTTCTGGTCCTGTGAACTTCTTTCACAATAGTTTTAACCCTGTTTAAAATAGTTTTCCATAAATCTGTATTTTATCAGGTTCCACAAGCTTTATAGCAGTGCTGTGGTCTTCTGCTTCAAAGGCACTCCTGGTGAGGGCACATCCTGTCCTTTTCCCTTGTCCCCATAACTTTATGCACAAAGGGTTGTTACCTCTGTATGGGCAGTGGGTAGAGTTACACCCTCCCTTGGGGGCAAGGAATACCCTTTGTGGAATCTTCAGAAAAGGCTGCTATGAGAATTTCTGCTCTCTTGTCTCTGCAAAGGTCCTTGGGCAAGGATGAAACAGCAGAGGATCCCTGCAGTGCTGCAGGGGAATGGGGGCAGAGGGAGGTTTCCTGTGTCCTGCCAGGCTGGGGGGCTGCCTCAAAAGCCACCTCTGCCAGGGAGACTTCCCACCACTCTGAGCTGCCTTTCCCATGCTCCTGGCTGCCTTTCCTGTGCTCCCACAGTGGCAGCAGCTGCCTCCGTGTAGTAACAGCTCGGGGTGGTGGCTGTATGGCAGGAGCTGGGTGTTACTCCTCCTCAGCAGGGGAAGGAGCCTTGTGGCATCTGCTGAGCAGATGCAGATGGGTGCTGGGTCCATGGGAGCTGGTGCAGATGGAACAGTGGGGGTGCAGACAACATAGAGGGTGTAATTAACCAAGGAAATCTTTGGAAGCAGCATATGCTGATGAAGTTTTTGTAGAACAGTGGGCCCTTTCCCTTTCAGAAGCCCCTGGTTTTAGACAGTCCCTGGGTACTGCTGAGAGACAGTACAGGAGGTAAGTGATGTGGTCCAGCAGGAAGGGAGTAAGGCAAGGGTAAACTGAGGTAAGTGACATAGTCCAGCAGGAAGGGCGTAAGGAGAGGGTAAAGCAAGGCATAACTTGTACCAGGGAAGGTGGCTGGAGGTGAATGAAGCCTGAGCTCTGGCCCTGCCCTTTACAGGGAAAGGGGGAAGGATAAGGTGTGTGTTGCTGGGGTTGTGGAGCAGATAGACCCATGAATGGTGAAGCTGCCTTCTGGGGGAAGGATAAGGTGTGTGTTGCTGGGGTTGTGGAGCACAGACCCATGAGTGGTGAAGCTGCCTTCCGTGTTGGCTGGAGTGGTGACCTTTTCCTCCTCTCTAAAACTCTCACTGGCATAACCTGCCCTCTCTGCCAGGTGATGCTCACTTCAGTAGCCAGTGCCTGTGGTGGCTTTTCCCCTGTATTTAACCTTTGTTTACACAAAACTTTACAGGTACCTGCTCCTGGCAGGCAGTTTAACATTGGGAGTGGAATTCCTTCAGCTGCTCAGTGTGGTAATCAGTGACTCTGTGTTTCTCTGCAGCGCTTGCATCTCAGTGAAGATGTGGCTGGGGCAACTTTCATGGCAGCAGGAAGCTCTGCTCCTGAGCTGTTCACATCTGTCATAGGTAAGGAGCCTGCTGCTGCTTCCCAAAGCCTGCACGTTTCCCTGGCTGTTTTCAGAGCTGAAATGGGATTGCTGTGTGCCTGCAAGGTTTGTTATAACCCTCCTGGGCACACATGGCACTGACTATGGGGAGTCCTCGCCAGGTGAAGTGACTCAGGAAGTACTCTTATCTCACAGCAGGGCCTGGGTGTGGCCCTGCCAAGCCAGGACCAGTGGGCACTTTACCATAGCTGCACATTAGCCAGGCTTCACCTAGAGTGTCATCTTCTCCTGTCCACTTTCGTGTCCCACCTGCCACACCAGCTCCAGGGCACAGTGGGAAAGGATTTCCCCCAGATTTCCCTCTCTGGTACCCTGGCACACTGTTCCTGTCCCCAGTGGCATGTTCATCACCTCCCCTCTAGTCAGTCTTCCAACACTGCTTTTCCCTAGAAAAGCCCAAGTGGGGAGGATTTGAAATGCTTTCTTACAGCAACAAGTTGGTCAGAGCATCACATTTCCAAAGCAGCTCTCTGCTTATGGGAAGTGTGATGAAGGGATTCAGCAGTCCTTAAGTCTGCAAAACCCAGGAAACTCTGGGTGCCCCCACAGCAGGCAGTGTTAGAGTAATGTTGTACCTAGCCACGTTAGGAGGGTGAAGTGTTCCTGCAGTCTGACTCACCCACATCTCTGTTGGTGGGGTTTCCTGCAGTCTGACTCACCCACATCTCTGTTGGTGGTGGATCATCAGGGCAGCAGCTGGGAGGGTGTGGGGGCTCTCCATCACTGAACAGAATTAATTCTCAGCTCATATACTTTCTCTAGGAGACACTTGTCTTTCAGTCACAGCTGCCAGATGAAGAGCATGAGTAAATTCACGCAAAGCTGCGTTCTTTGCAGAGGTCTCATTGCACAAGCAAAGCCTTGTCATTTGGGAACTTAAATTGGACCAAGTTGGGATTGTCCTTTGGTTAAGGGTAGTGCAGTTCCAGGGTGAAAGTAAAAGCAGATTCCTTCAGGTGACTTAGGGAAGCCCTGATGGTCATCAGGATCATTTTCCTGCTGTGGTGTAACCTGCCAGGTGCCACGTGTCACTTGGCAGGTGAGTGCTTCTGTGTTTCTGAGAAAAGGATGAAGTTGGAAAAAATACGTGAACAGCACTGGCCGGTTTATGTATGACCAGATAAATAGTGTTGGAACCTTAAAAGCAAGTGGTAAATTTAAATAGACTGGCAGCTAACAGGAGATGGAGTGTTATTTTTAGGCTGGCTTCCTAAGGAAAGGACTATGCACCACCGTGATGCATGTGTCTGTCAGTTCATCTCCCCCACCATTAACCTCATTGGCCAATTTTAACCAAATTTGATAGAAGAGCTCTGAAAAAAGCTTGTAGCATAGCCCCATAACTCATCCTGAGAGGCATCACTTGGCTGTGGGTAGCTGTGGCCAGACAGCTCTGAATCATCTCCAGCTTCTACTGAAGCCATTTGGGATGGGAATATGGGAAGGAGCAGAGTACTGCTCAGGGAATGTCTTATGGGAGACAGTTTCCTGTGGATTTGTGTCCCACCAGCTGCTACCAAGAGCTTGCAGTGTTTTGTGTTTTGCCATAATGTTGAGTCACAATACCAGGAAGTTAATAACTTGGATGTGCCTGAAGTACTTGGTTTCCATCACACTGTCTATGCAGATCCCCTCAGAAAGCAGCTCTCTGCAGTTTGCCTAGTACTTACCTTTAGATTCATGAATAGGGTGCAAGGTCTGCAATTTTATGTGAAAAAAGTCAGCTCTTTCCCATTTACACAGCTTCTCTTGAACTTGTTTTTCAGGTGTTTTTATCACAAAAGGAGACGTAGGCGTTGGAACCATCGTGGGCTCGGCTGTATTCAACATCCTCTGTATTATTGGTGTGTGTGGGCTTTTTGCAGGACAGGTAGGAGCATTTAATGATTCCTTACAGTTCTTGCTTCACCCTGTGCCTTGGCTGTGCTGCAAAATCAGATGCCAGGTTCACCACCTTGCCACAAATTTCTCTGGCTTTGCTGTTTTTAATAGGGCCCTGTGCTGTTCCTCCCGCATTTTTGAAATGAAAAACAGAGCAGCAGAGTTCAGCTCAGGCATTTTGAGCTGCCCAAGGTGTGTGGGTGGGCAGAGGAATAAATGTTGCTTGTTTGCTCATTGTGTAGTTTGTGAGTGTTCTCCAGCGTGTCAAACCGCTTGTGACAACACAAGCTATTCATCTGAAATTAAAGCAATTAAGTTGTGAGATCTGAGCTGCTGTCTGAATTGCAGACATGATTGACTGTATAATTAAATACCTGAATCTGCATTTACCTTGGCACTTGCCAGCATGCCAAGTATTTTTACAGTCTCATAAATGTTCTTTGGCGTGTTACTGTGCAGACTTACTCATAAAGAGGAGAAGCAGGGTCATGTGCCGGCATAGGGCAATGGAAGAAGAACTGAGAAGACCTTGGTCAGTCTGGGAAAACACGCAGAGAGTTGGGGTTTTCCTTATGATCCAGTTCTGGTTTCATTAGCAGTGAACTTCTGCAGGCTGAAGATGAACATTTTCAGCGTGAGGAGGCCTCAGGTTAAGGTCACAGCAGTGCTTTTGAACCACCCACGTGTCCTGATTTGCATGCAACAGATGCTCAGTGTGTCAGTGGTTCTGCTGTAACTCTTACTGTGAAAACCCAGTTAATTGAGGTAAATTTTTAATGACCAAAGCCTTCCCAGGGCATGAGGCTCTGTTCCCCAGAGGTATTCTCCTGTCATCAACAGGACTTCCTTCTCAGGCCGCTTTTTTCATGCAAATGAAGGTGATAAACTATCCAGCAGTTAATGATGGCAGAGGAGCCAGTTCTGATTTTTACTCTCAGCAGTACTGATTGCATGCCTCAAACCTGCTAAAAAATGGCTACAAACCACCTTTGGAAATGGTTTGTAGGCCTACTAGAGTTTGGGGCTTGACAGAGAATGTCAGTCTTCTTGAGAGGCCTTTTGCAGGTGGGAGATCGTTGTTTCAGAAGGATAAATCACAGGCAAAATGCTCTTGTAAAACATCTTCAGCCTTTCAGTCATGGTAGCTTTCAGAAGTTCAAGTCATCCTAAGCATAGTCTGTGAGTTTCTTTCAAGCCAAGCGTTGAGATTTTGACTGCTTTGCCTCATCTTTGTTTTCCTTTGGGCTCTGCTGACGATTTGTGTGTGGTTTTGTCAAGTCACATAACCTCTTTTTGCTGCAGTCTAACCCTCAGAGGGTGGGTGAGCACTGGAATGATTGACGTCACCATGTGGAACTGTTATTTTAGAAATAAAGAAATTTCAGTGTCAATAATCGCAGTGTTTTAGATAAAACTCTGGATCAATTTATGCTTTTCATTGTTTCCCACTCCCAGCCTTTCACCAAAAAGTCATTCCCTCTTAGTGGTGTGATTCATCATTTGTTTTGTGTTAGTATGAGTAGGAATTTGATTTGATTGTTAACAGTGTCTCTACAGAGGCACTAACATAGGTGGTAAATTTGGGTGTTGGTAAGATTTCTGTTCTGCTGGGACCTGGATCTCAGTAGTGAGTTGCCAGGTGAGCCTGTGGGCTGGCTGTTGGTGAAAGCTGCTTGCTGTGCTCCAGGATTTTTTCTTTGAGCTCAGACCTGTGGATTGAGCAGCTGGAGCCCTCAGATTTTCAGATGTATTGCCTGTGGGCTGGGAATCCCAGAGGTCAGATCTGCAGGGGCCTTTTTCTGTGTTTCTGGAAGCTTTCCTTTGGTTTGTTTTGTTGTTGTTTTTTTTTTTTTTTTTTGACTGGTAAACAGTTGAATTGTAAAATACTGTCCAGCCCTCTCCAGAATATGTTTTATTTTTAAATTAGGTTGTAGTTTGTATGTGCTGTGTTGGATGTGTTCTTCTTTGGCCTAAGAAAAGATTGGATTTGGTTGTGTTCACCATGTTTAGAAAAAAACCCAAATGTACAGCCCCCAAAAGCTGGTATGCATTTGCTTGAGCACCAGCCCCAATTGTTTATTCTTCCAAGCCTTTACTGGCTGTATGAGCACACTTTTCAGGATAAATCAGAATAAGCATCCCACTGCTTACTGGAGCAGGAGAAGGGAAGCGTGCCCACGCCTCTGTGCCACACTGCACACCTAAAAAAGGCATTGAAAGAGCATTGTGAAGGTTGAAAGTCAAACACTGCAAAGTTAGAAAATAGCAGTGTGAGGGTTCCCTGTGCACCCTTGATTTGCCCCCCCAGTGTGCGTGTATTATTATCCAGGCTTTAATTATGGAGTCTCTTGCCGGGTTCTCCACGGGCTCCCTGCCTCCCTCTGCACACAGAATGGACTTTGCTCACTTAATGAGCAGATATTCAGGATTTTGTTTTCTCTTATTGTTCACTCTGTGCCCTTCTGCCTTATTTACCAGGCTCTATTCAAGTCCTGTTCCAGCAGCAGAATTATTAATTTCCTCTTGAACTTGTGCCGATCTCGGCGCTATTGTATCTGAGCAGTTGATGAGCAGTTAATTAATCTTCCCCAAACCTCTGTGAGATGAAGGGATGCTTTAAAGACGGGGAAACAAAGCACAGAGAGATTAAATAAAAAAGAATAACTTGTCTTTTTAGGGGCCAATTAGAGCTGGCACAGGCCTGCTCTTTCCCCTGGTGCATAGCATTCTGTGGCATGCTCGTGGGTCCTGGCTCCAGGTGCTGCTCCCACTGCTCCACAGGGCTTTCCTTGTTGGAAAGCCTTGGTTTGAGTGGCCATGTCAGTCTTCACACAGCCCTGCTCTCCTTGGGAGCATTCAGCTCCTTGAGCCATATGAGCCCCTCTTCTTCTCTCTCCTGCTTCTTTCCACAGGGCACCACACAGAATGTCTCTGTCCTGAGCCCTGCCCTCATCCCTAGGGCTGTTCTTGTCTGGAACTAAGCAAGTGACTTAACTACCTCTTCTAAAATTTAATGGTTGCTCTTGCCAGTGTGACAGTGTTCCTTCTTGTCATTCCTCCTCCAGCTCTTGAGGCCTGAGAGAAAAGCTTTCACCAGATTCCTCTCTTGGGTTATGCATCCACCAATAGCTGCTTTCTTCCAGTGGTTTTGATCCCTTCTCCTCTCCACACTCCTCTGCTCTATGTCTCCTTCTCCTGGCTAATGTTAGCCATGCCAGGGAGGCACCTCTAGAGATGCAGGAGTCTGCTCTGCAGCCAGGGAAATCATATTTTCCACTGTTTTCATCTCCTCCTGAGATTTTGGATTGGAGGAATTAAAAAAGCAACAGTGAATGCAGGCTGCCTGTGTGTTTGATGGCCAGACAAGAACCATCCCCTAAAGGCTGCATTTTCTGACTAGCATCCACACTCTGAAAATCAGAGCTTTCAAATATAGCTTAAACTGGGCCTCTCAGAAGCAGAACTTCACGTGTGGTGTGTCTGGAAGTGTTTGACCAAGGCATGTTTGTGAGAGAGAGCTCAAGTTTTCCCCGTGGATAGTGAATGTTGCCCAAGTGCCTGTGGCAGTGAGCCTTAGAAGCTCCTCCTGCTTTCTTCTTGCAGCCTGTTGAAATATTCTGCATAGCACTCACACCCAGAGGAGGATTTCTCTTATTTCATCCAGGCAGTAGATGCAGCTTCTAAGCTGTAGATGGTTTCAGTATGTGGAAATATGTTAGGAGCTCTTCTCATTCCCCACTTGCCTGTGCAGTGCAGGTTGGATGTGTCTGCAGCTGTTCCCTCCTATGTCCCTACACCTTGGACACCAGCACTTCTTGCAGGTAGGCAACTGCTAAGGCACATAACCCAGCTGTTGTTTTTTAGCTGCTGTGTCTGCTTTGCTTCCTCCTGGCAAAGGGGGAACAAGGAGGTCAGGGAACACTGAGGGAGAATGAAATGGCAGCAGATGCAGCCTTTCAGAGAGTAGTCCAGCAGCATTCACAGGGACACAGAATGGATAGCAGTGAGGAGGCTGCTGTCTGCATTGTGATGGATTGCATCGGGCTTTTTCCATGCTTGCAAGCCAGCTGTGTATGGGGAGCTTGACCTTAGCCTGGGGTCCCCTCCAGCCCTTGGTCGTGCTGTCCTGTCTTCTCTCACGCTCATGTTTGTGCTTCTCAAGCTCTCCCCTCCTTCCCCTGCCCTCTCGCCGTCCTTGGCGGCAAGGACGCGGCATTCTCGGAAGCAGCCCTTGCTTAATTCAGCTCTCATTCAGGCCAGCACAAGCAGAGTTTGTTCAGTTTTGGACATTCCCCCATCCAGATTCATCTTGTTTTCACGACCCTGCTGCTCTCTCCTCGCCATCCTGTCCTCCCAGCCCTGACCCACAGCGTTTTGCAGTGTTGCAGAGGAGGCTGAGAACTTCTTATGTGAGAGCAGTATAACCACGAGTTGCAAGTCTCACTCCAGCATTGCCTTGTAATTTTGAATGTGCATGGCTTGATTTGTTAATTAGTATTTAACTGCTCTGTTTTTCACTTGAGTCCAAGTTTCTTTATTTTACCTTTCCCCAGAAATAGACAGGCTTCTCTGGATGGAGCAGGGGACCAGGAATGCTGGCTTGTGCCACAGCTTTTCCAGTTATTGGTTCTGTCAAGGGGTCTGGTGGGTGGCGACGCATCCTCAACATACTGGAGCAGAAAAGGATGACTGTGACTGTCTGACCTGCCTCCTTCTTTCCCAGTGGGATTCTTTTACCTCAGGAATTACACTAAATTCAGCAAGTTCTCCTTTGTCCAGGTCACAGAACCCTTGTGCCAGCCGAGGTGGCTCGAGGAATTATCAGCTGCCATGGGTTATGTCAGTGGAAAATATGCCTGTGTTAGGCATGTTGACCAGGACACTAAACAGAGTTTAATAACCTGGTAGAATGTTTTTTAATGAATCAACTGAGACTTCTGTAATCTGTTTTATCCCGCTTCTGCCATTCAGCTGGCTTGCATGCCTCTT